GATATGGGATATATATCTCTTAACATCGCGGGGCCCACCTCCCTTATGAGAGGTTATAACACAATGTTGTAACACATGTATTGTACATGTAGCATTTCCTGCACCATAATTCCAATAAAAGGTCACATCAAAAGGCTCAAAATTTGGCAATGTAATTAGAGTCTACTCTTCTAATTCAAGAGTCGGCACCGAAAGACGGCTATAAGATTATTCCTTCCTTTTAACAATTTTTATTTCAAAGTGTTGAAAACAAAATTAGTCAAACATTAAAATTTCTTCCCACGAATCCACGTGTCAATCATCGGTCAACCCTCGTGGACGCGTGTATACTATAGCTTAATTATAAATCACTCATCGACGGTTCACGTTGCATCAACCACGTATCCATCAGCTGTCACTTTAGCAGCAAAAACACAAACTGCGTGGCACCCGTGTACCGTCCCACGTGTTTTCGTAAATTACTATAAATGCAGACTCCGGTATCCGTACTGTGAATTTGTAAGCAAATTTCATAATTGAGCAAGGAATGTGCAAGTGAGGTGTGAAAATGGTGAGGCCTCAAGGAGGAGAGAGACGTGACAGAATTAGTACCGGCCGGTTCAAGGGTGTGAGGATGANAATGGTGAGGCCGCAAGGAGGAGAGAGACGTGACAGAATTAGTCCCGGCCGGTTCAAGTGTGTGAGGATGAGGAAGTGGGGGAAATGGGTGGCGGAGGTTCGCCAACCCAACAGCCGTGACAGGATTTGGTTAGGGTCATACGAAACGGCGGAGGAGGCGGCGAGAGCTTATGATGCCGCTGTGTTTTGTTTGCGCGGTCCTACAGCGGTGATAAATTTTCCCGATGACCCGCCGGATATTCTGTCGGCTGGTGAACTGTCTCCTCCTCAGATACAGGTTGCTGCCTCGAGACACGCAAGGAGAGTTTTGCCTGAGTCGACTGAGTTGGGAAGCAGTGCGGTGGAGTTGGAGTTGAAACAGCCGGAGACTAGAACTGGGTTTTTTGGAGAGTGTGTAGATATAGGTTCTTCTTGTGATTATTCCAGTGCTGATTGTTACTTGACAGCGGGGGAGAGAGGCGGAGGAGAAGGAGGCAGCGGTGTTAGTATTGAGGGAGCATATTTTGGGACACAAAGTATGTGGAGTTTTTAATGGTACGACAGTATGACGGACAAGTGAGCTCCATTGCCATCCCTCGGAAGAAAAAAGAAAGTCACAGTTTTTATAATTATTCAGTTCGACGTGTAGTTCGCCTTCGAGTTTTATCCTATTATTTTCATATTTTAATTGATTAAATTTTACATGCAAGATGATAAAATATAAGCTTGAAATTCGATTAAATGATATCAGTGTTGAGATTCGACCGTTCTATTAAACTTAGGATATGCTTTTGGGCTTTCGAGTTCTTGTTTGGATTTTATTAAAAGCTGTAGATGTGAATTATTATTTCATAATCGTGAAATAATTTTTCAGAGTTCAATTTCATAGAATCTGTTTACATATATTCTATTTAGGGTTTGTTCGTCAATGGCATCAATTAAAGCATGCATTCATTCAAGAATAAAAATGAAAGTAGAGAGTAAACAATACCAATATTTTTTTTGCTATAAAGGAAAAATCATTGAAGAATTCTTCAAGAGGGGAAAAAAGAAAAAAAAAAAAAAAAATCTTCGGACATACGCATCACTAAATAATTCACTAGAAAAGATTGAATTTATAGAATTGGTCCAAACAAAATTAAACCTATTTGACTTTGATTAATCCTAATTTGTAATCCCCGAAAAACTTTTCATTTGTGCGCTCTAGCTCCACAATCTCTGGACTTCTTTTATCTTCATGGATCATCAAGAACGAGCTCATTCTTCACTAACTAGAACTCTAGTCACCTCTCGGGATCTTCAGAACTCTGAAAGATATTT